GAATGAGCATTTTATAGAATATTTTACTATACTTTCATTCTGCATAAATGGTTTTAAACTAATAAAGGTTTGCTTAGATATGTTTCTTGATTTTTTGCTCTGGAAATATCCCTCTATACTCACCGCACCGAATAGATGCAGTGATCACGTGCACACTTCACGTGCGCACATCAATCTAAAATTAGTGTTCGATTGCCGTCTAAAGATTGTCAACAATAGATGAGCATCCAACGACTAGGCAATTGTTTCAGTTAATCAGTTCAAAGCGGACCGTTTTCTCTGTGACCCTTGCCCGAAAAATAGGCACGGTGCACATCCCATAATAATTTACAAATACCTGCTCCTGGCCTATAATCTGACTAAAGGGGGGTTCGAAGGCCCAACCCTTAACACATGTTTATCACGCAGTTTTATTACTGTATTTCGGTCTACTAATAACTAATAACCCTTTATGGAGTCACCAGACACTATAGTCACTCTCTAAAAACAGTTCAGGATGACTTAGGCATACTTAAAATTATATATCGCACGTCTAGATATAAATGTGCTACAAGAGAAACTTCATGGCTATACTAGAATATTTTAGTCACTCTCAAGGGCTACTAGAAATACTCCAGGATCTATCAAAATTATGTGGACTCTCTCGATACTTCAGGGCTACTTTTAAAACTCTGTTACCTGCGACTAGTGTAGTGACTGTCTAAAATTACCTGAAGCATTTCGTGAGTTACACTAGCTATACCAGGACATTTTAGTCATTCTCAGGGCTATTAAAGATACTCCAGAATTTCTCGAAATTATGTAGACTTTTTGGACACAGGGTTACTTTTAAAACTCTGTGACCTGCGACTACTGCAATGACTGTCTAAAGTTACCAGAAGCATTTCGTGAGTTACACTGTTCGTGTCAGTTAGAATTTCGAAACTCTAGGGGGCCTTCCAGAGATTCTAATCACTTATGAGGGTCCTTTTTTTTCTCCTGGGCTCGTCTGACTATGTCTCCGAATAACAGTGAAGCCTATTGGCTTATTGTGTTTTACCCCATGTTAGTTCATAGCACCCACTCTGTCACCTTTGTACCTTGTACAAGTTTGTACAGATCCTTGGGTGAGTGGGTTCTATAGTTGTTGGATTAATCTGGGGTTGTCCAAAAAGTGCCTGTCTTTGGCGATCTAGAGCTTCGCATTCGTATAGTATGTGTTTGGCCGTTTCTATTTTCTTGTGACATAGTCGGCACATGAGTTCCCCATTGTACATGCCAATTTTGTTCAAGTGTCCCTTAACTGAGGCGTGCCCATTCATGAACCCTGTTATCACTTTCATCTGGTTCCTATTCATAAAGAGTAGTTCTCCAGTTCTTTTGAAAAGCCTATAAAAACTTTTCCATGTGCCTGTTTTGGGGTGCTTCCCCAATAGTTAATATGTTGTTCCCGAATCCAGTCGTTTATGAAACGCCGAACTGTACTTTTTGGTACTCCTGGGTTTGTGTCTGGTTCCGGTGTTTCTTCTGGCCCTCTTTTTGCAAGTTCGTCAGTTTTTTAGTTGCCTTCGATCCCTTGGTTACCTGGCACCTAAAATAGTTTTACTCTATTTCGATCTGCCAGTGTTCTTGGTTCTTCGGTGCATTCCCTACCAGCCTCGACGTAACTTTCTGGCTCAATATGGCCTTAAATGCCGCTTGGCTGTCTGACATTATTTGAATAAGCTGATTTTCGACAGCTCTTTCATTGTTTATTTGTGCACATTAAAAAATTGCGTATACCTTGGCCTGAAATACCGAGGAATGTATTCCTATAGCATAGCTATGATTAGTATCAGGGTTTTTGGAGAATACTCCCGCCCCAGTGCCTTCCGCAGTCTTAGACCCGTCTGAATACCAGGTTTGTTCCTGTCGTTGGGCATTGGGTTTTATTATGGTGATCATCGCTCTTTCCTGTATTAAAACCTTAAATGGAGTATTAAAAGAGTACCTCTTGGTTATGTGGTCTGATCTCATGACTAGAACGTCTCCTGTCACTAACCTTGAGATACTCATGTGACCTGGTCTAATGTCAAGATTTCACAGTGTATTCCCTTATCTGTAAGCACATAATCTTGCCTCTTCTAGTGTCACATAGTGAAGAGGTAGAAGTCCTATTAGTGCTTCCATTGCAGCTTTGGGGGTTGTTTTCATTGCCCCCGTTATTCCGAGACAGACAAGTACCTTGCTTAGCCCCGTTATTGCTTTCCTTTGCTGTGTCTTTGGCCACCACACCAAAGCTGCGTGGGTCTTTAGTCATAAAGGTAATTTTAGACAATATCGTAGATTCTAAATCTGAGTTCGAATTTCAATCGTCTAATTTTCTTTATAAAATTAATATAGCTTACACTACAAGAATGCAAAAACGTTTGATCAAATAAGAAGAAGGACCAGTCAGTCATGCCCATAGGTTATTTCATAACTACTAGATATATTCAGGATTACGTCAAGTCCCCCGGAAGTTTTTTGAAATTATATGTTCTTTGAGGTACAATACTACTGTTACACAGCTAGATCAGATATTATAAGTATTTTCTCTGAGTCACTTGGGATATTCAGAATCACTTCAAATAGTCCAAGGAATCTAAAATGCTACAGAAAGTATTATGGAACTTTACAATCCCTCTAGATAGAATAGTGACGGTCTAAACCTACGAATACATGTAACAAATACCTGAAAAGGAGCCCTGAAAAGTTCACCGACAGCCTCTATGGAAATCATTCTAAAGCTCCTCCCACTCCTTGACCTAGTCATAGAGAGGGAAGCCAGAATGAGTGCATATAGGTTGAAAATCTTCCATAACAGGAACCCACTGGGACATATAAAGCATACCAGAAGAATACATGAGGTAAATGATTCTATATTAAACACGGGATCAGATCATATGATACCCCGCCTAACCTTCAAGAGACTCTTTCAGGTCAACTGCAACTGGAACGAGGTAAATAAGAAGTTAGAGAAATACTTGCTTAGTGGTTTCGTATGGTATACAGATGGATCCAAAACTATCAAGGGAAAGGATCTAGCGTGCATTGAGTTAAATTCAAATGTGACAGCATCGTCTCACTGGGAAAACATACCACTTGCAATCGAGTTGTGTGTACGGGAAAATATAAGAAGGAAGTATAAAAAATAAACCATCTTAATTCTCTCAGATAGCCAAGCAGCTTTAAATGTCCCAGGAACACTTGGTAGTAAAACTAACCAAAGGCACATGATTATTCCAAAGATAGTACCTAAATACGGAGAAAGTAGGGGAATTCAATAGACCTAAGAGGCCGCAGTGGTCTGGGCCAAAAATAACCCTACCTACTTATAACCGACAAAGATAAAAATAAAAAAATCTACTAATAACCCTTTAGGGGCATATCAGATACTATAGTGAACTCTAGAGGCAGTTCAGGAAGATTCCACATTCTGGGACGTCTCTTGAAACTGAATATGGTACATCCAGATATAATAGTGCAATTAAAGAGCTGTCAGGGCTATACCAAGCATTTTAGTCCTTCTCAAGGGATACTTATGGACAATACTTCAGGACTTCTCAAAATTATGTTGACCCTATGGACAAAATAGTGCTTTGAAGAACCCTCCAGGCCAATACAGACACTCGTGGCCTGCACTCCAGCGTGGTAACTCCGAATATGATAAATATGGGTGGCACAAAATTGATCGAAAAAAATATATTTTATTGAATAACAGTAGAAGCAAAAGTTTCCGATCAATTTTGTGCCACCCTAGAAATATTATAGTGTTACAACGAATTTTGTGGGTTATATATCGGGCACTTCAGATTTATTTTTGAAACTGTGACTGTTTAAGAAACATCGCGAGTCACACCATATGTGTCAATTGGATTTTCGAAACTTTAGGCGCTGTCAATCAATTTAAAAGGTCATAAGTCACTAACCTTAATTGTTTTTAATATTATAATGGATTTTTAATTTAATTTTCTTTATCACAATAAAATATTTTAAACCATCGCCGCAAAAACGTTTGGTCAAATAAGGAGGACGAGTCAGTTCCACCACGCCCATGGTTTATTTCCTATACGACTACATTGTGTTGTGAATTATCTACGAATTTCATTGTGTTATTGTGTTCGCCGCGTGCAGCAGCGCCGCCTATCGTCTTTGTTTCGTTGCTTCCAATTGTCTGAATAGTAGTTCTATTGATTGTTGGAAAAGGTCATCGTTTCGCTTTGTTGTTTGCTCGTTCTGTTCTGGAGGGGCTTTGTGACTCGGGTTCGCATCGTCGAACAATACATCTTCGACGTTGAATTTTTTCTTCGTTCAATTAACGTTGTTTACATTGTTGTCGCCGTTAAGTGGGTTAATAATGATCGTTAATTAACGATGGAGGCTTTTGAGAGAGAGAAAGTGATGTTTTGTGTGAATACATTCGATGAAGAGTCGGGAGATAAATAAACATCTATACCTACACATAATAGAATTATAATTGCTTCGATTATACATGCTTGGAAATATTTGTGCCGGAAAAGATCGTGCAAATTGATGAAGTTGCTAGCTTTAAGGTGGGAGTTTAATTGTTTTTAATTTTAGTTCCAAATGAATTTAAAAGCTATAAAAGATGAAGACCTAAGATTTGGTAGACATTTTTAAATAAATCAGAGCAGTTGCTGACGCTATCAATAATGCAACTAAACCAATTCTCAAATCGTTGTAATAACGAAGAAAATTGAGAAATAAAATACAAGCCGAAATTTCAAATTATATACGCGGTAATACCATTGTCTACCTTCTTTATCGATGATTTTAGTTCCCGCATTCGTTGACAGATCGAAAAACAAGCCAGTCGACTTGTTTCCATGGCATTTCAAACATTCTATTCGGAATATAGTTTTGAGTAGAAGTAGAGAACTATCGATAGCCGTTACTATCGATAGATAGATTAAAATTATTCATGAAATTATCATTTTAACTTATATTTCAATCAAGTACAAAAAAAGTTACGTTAACTTATAGGCAAAGGGATCAAAGGTTTACGTTTTTATGTAAAAATATAATTTTATTCACATGTTCAGACGTAAGCCTGGATCTTCTTTGAGTAACGATTAGATCAGTGGAACTAAATGTCCTTTCACTTTAAACGCTGGTTCCTGGGACACACAAATATTTTAAGGCAGATTTGTCCAAAATGTTGAGCTCATTACCCATAAGCTAAAACAAATAATTATTTAAATAATACATTTCAAATCTTATTTAAATATTTGTAACATACCTTCCAAAACTGCAAGGGATCAGTGCTTTGTTCTGTGCTTGCCCTCTCAAAATACTGCTGTTTGGTAATTATTACATCTGCCAAAGTAGTTTTACCCTTTTCCTTAATTATTTTTTGAATAAAAGAAAAGAGTGATATGCTTTCACTGGTTACATCTGTACCAATTTCAATTTCTTTAACAATATCTACTTCTTTCTGTTCCTTATTTTTGTTTATAAAAAAGGATATTTTATTGTCAAGTAATTTTGCATTTTCTACATTTCTTAAGCCTTCTTTTTTAAAACGTGGATCTAAAATTGTGCTGATATTTGAAACATGACGTGTTTCACAAGAAAACAATCTTTGTTTGACAGACTGCATTAAGTTTAGACAAAAGATTTTCCCCTCTTCTGTTGCCAATTTGTTTTGTAGTGTGTAAAGATAATTATAGATACTAAAGGACAGAGGAATAAACAAATATTTCTATTAGCATACAACTTACAATTAGAATCTAAAGTTATGTATATATTTTTAAAATACATGAAATTTTTTTAGTTGCATCTTCAAAACAGGTGAGAACTTTTTCTATGTTACCTAATATGGTGACTTCATCGACTATCAGTGGTGATGGTGCTTTTCTTAATTTAAGTAAGGACCTGCCCATGGCATCATTAGTTTGCAAAACCCTTTGTATCATGTAAAATGTACTGTTCCAACGAGTTTGAAGAAGTTTTAAAGGTGCTTTACCATTAGCGAGATACATTTTGGATTAAAAGAGTGATGCCCCGAAATGTTGGCAACATATTATACAATATTTCAAAAATTATGTCCCATTTTCTTAGCATGGTATGGAAATAAACGTCATGCCATTTATATTGTCAATTTTTGTAACAAAATATAATTGTATCCGAACATTTTCTCAACTTTACCTACGAATATGTTTGTTAGTGATGAAATTATGAGCACTCCACCGGAGATTTTAGAAAAAGCTCAAGTTGCCACACATAATTTGTTACCGCTAAAATCCAAAGAAAGGTACGAAATTAACTATCGAAAATTTATGGATTGACGTCACAAGCATTCTTTTTTGAAAATGTTTTAAGTGGGCGTAGAAAAAGTATAGTACGTTACACGAGTTGTAAGCCCATTGCGCACTCGTGAAATTTACGCACTCGCCGCTGCGCGGCTTCATGCGTAAACTTTTTCACTTCGTGCGTAATGGGTTACTTACAACTCTTGTTACGTAATATACTATAATCGACCTGCAGTTAATGACAACGTTTAAACAGCATAAAATTTGGCAGTGGAAATAGGGGTAATGGGCACATTTTGGTTTTTCGAGATATCGAAATACAGAATAGGTGGATTTGTTAATTAACAAGGACAAACTTGTATTTTCTGCAAAAGCTATCTTCACTCTACCTTTGCTAACTACGGAGAACGTCATTCTTGTATGAAAAAAGTAGACATTCTTGTATTAAAAAAGTAGACATTCTTGCTTACAATCTCTAAACTAAAGGAACCTGCAGATGACATTAATTTCCTAGCCCTTATGCCGATTAAGATAAGATTAAAATTGTTTCCAAAGCTAATCCGACCAAAGATTGATTTCAATTGAACAAACCTCATATTTTATGTATTGTATGGGAGTCCACTGCAAATTTCGACCGTCATCTGATAACGAAATGAAATATGCTCCAAAGGCATGTAACAACATTGTACTTTACCAAATTGCACCTGTGCCAATCCCTATCTTGAGCAAAGTGGTTCAAAAAAATTATTTTATATTCAAAAACTCACATAAGACATGACAGCGACAATTGTGTTTTCCCTGAAAATTGCAATCCTAATTCATTGTGAATCTAGCTTTTAAACCTAAATTATTAATATTTTTACCTACCTTTTAAACCATGTTTATGTATGAAAGAAAGAAGGATGGCATTGTATAAACCATTTGCAGAGATAGTCAATAATAATTATAAACTCTTGTTAGACAATTATTTTAAACCATAATCACAGTAGTTTTTTGTCGTTTCTATGAACCTATAAAAATGAATCACAACAATAGGCATTTAAATGTTAGTGATACTCCCCTTGTACCCCAACATTATTGACCACGTGTCACTGTCAATTGTCAATACTCCTGGCAAGCAATACAATATAGAATAGTGTAATACTAATAAATAAACAGTTGTGGTGGTTTAATGACTTTTATTAGGGTTAATTATCCCTTACCTTAACATAAATAAATTTTTAAATCAGCAAACATTGATTCATATTTTAAATGATTTTTACCTACTAATCGTGGATAGATGTTTTTGTGCGATGTTAAGAGGAAGAAAATGTTCCCCTTTAACGATATATTTGAATGTTATTTTCTGGAAAACTTTAAGGGCAAACAAAATTAGCGCTGTCATGCCTTATGTATATTTTTTTAATATAAAATAATTTTTTTAAGCTACTTTGCTCAGGATTGGGATTGGCACAGGTGCCTTTTGGTAAAGTATAATGTTTGTCCATGCTTTTGGGGTATATTTCATTTCGTTATCAGATGACGGTAAAAATTTGCAGTGTACTCTTGGGCTATTACTTGTCCATTTTCTTACAATTAAATAAGCTAAGTAGTATAACAAATTAACTATAATTTTCCCTTGTTCTTCTATTTCTTTATTTCTCACTGGCTTTGATAGACTAGTCGCAATATATTTTTGGGTAGATTTTAATATATGAATTGGTACTGATTTCTTTATATAATTTGATAAACATTCTTTCCAGACAGTAATTACATATCAGACGAAGATTTACCGAAAAAAAACTAACGATCTCTATTCACAGATTGCAGATTAAAAAAAAATAATGATACAAAGCAAACAAATTATCTGCTAAAAATATATGGATTTACGTATGTGTAAGAAGAAGAAAAAAAAAACAATATTGATAAATTGAATTGTCTGTTCTATTTGCGTTTTAACAGATGCGCATTTGTATTGGAAAATCTTTCAAAACAACGAGCATATGTGCTATGCTAAACCTTTTATTTTAGAAATTCTCCGTCACTGATTTATGATGCTATATTGGGGTTTATCTCCTGGATCATAATTGATGTTATAATGATATCAATTGTATTAAAAAAATTGTTTTTTTTTTAAATTTCGTGTTCCATCTGTAATTGTCATCGTCAATTAAATTGTTTCTTAATATGCCTTGATCTGCAGACCTTTTTAATTTTGAAGATTGGTTGTACATCTAGATAGAAAAGATAGAGATTTTAAAGCTTAGAAGTATCAAATAACGGATCTTCAAATCCTTTCACACATTGAAAGACTTTAGCAAATCGGTCATATGGGAACATGCTTCTGAGAAATTAAAACATTTCAATTGTAATATGTTGCTAATAATATTGACTAAACAGAACATTATACTACAATATTAATGTACATAAACTGGCAATTTTTAATTTATTTGCTAAAGATCAGCCATAATGCTGTTATCGAAAGAAACTCCCCTAAATATACGAGTACTATACAAAGGCATCATAGACTTCCCCAAGCTGATACCTCAATGGATTAATGGCATCAATTCTGCTCGACCATCTATAGTCTATTTTTATGTATGAGAGAGTATTAAAATAATAAAGCGTTCGTAATCCATAGGCGTACCACTCACTTCTTTTAGTAGACAGTTAAAATATTTTTTGAAGTTGTTCCTCGAGTATACACTTATATTTTCACCTAATTAACGTGCTTATAACTTCTAAACAGCTGAAGGTAAAAAAGTGCATTTTTTTCTAAAATGTTTTATTTTTCCACAAGGTATGTTAAGAACATTGTGTCAAACGGGTTATCTAGGTATAAGTGTTTAAACTTTGACTTTTAAACAACGTTACGTTCATAAATAATAATTTTAATATAAAAACTACTTCTTACCTATAAATCCAAATCAGAATCGAAATCAGAAGATGAACTATCGCAACCAATATTTACAATGAGTGGCTCGATCATTTCATCAGTAATATTGTCTAACTTCCACAATTTCTCTTCTTCTTTAATCGTATGATTCACTGCCTTTTCCCAGTTTTCAGGCTTCACATTATTTACAGCCTCTAAAAACAACTGTTTAACATCACTCATTTTAAAAGAATAATTTTTTCTTGAAACTTTGTGCCCATATCAGTTAAATCGGGTTTACTTCGCAATGATATGGTGGTGATTTAACCACCGTCATCCCACGATTTTTTGCAATTTCATCAATTTCATATTTTTTTAATTTCTCTTTATGAAGGGAACACAAATGATACAGTTCTTTTCTCCCAGAACCGGGATGGAACTTAATATTCTTTGAATTTAGCCAATTCTGTAAATCTTTTTTTAACCACTTGGTTGTGGGCATTTTTTCTATAAGTCTCGAGTGATAACTTGCATTATCCATTACTATTATACAGTTCTGAGGAAGAAGATCTATAATTTGTTCGAACTACTCTTTAAAGACATCAGTATTCATGTCCTCATGGTAGTCACCAGTACAAGTAGATTCAAAAGTCAATGAACCACCTTTAACAAAACCGTTTGAACTACCGATGTGTACTATTATTAGTCTGCGCCCCTTTCCTGATGGTGGATTTAAACCAGTAGATAAATTATTTAAAAAAGCCTGTCGTCGACTTGTAACAGTTTCATCTTGCCAAAATTTATTTGGTTTATGTCCCTCGTTGATCCATGTTTCATCTAAATAAAATATATTTCTTCTTTTGTTTAATTTTTTTTATAGTCCTTTATAGTCCTTCTGGAATGCTTTTTCCATAGAAAACATATTTCTTTTAAAAGTTTCCATAGTGTGCTTCGGCTCATTTCAGGGTAATCCTTATCATCTCGAACCGTAGCAAGAACTTTGTCTACTGTCGGAAATTCTTTTCTAAAGAAGAACGCATGCACTTTCCTTCGAAGTCTATCTTTTAAAAGATTTTCTAATTGAAATTTTGGTTCTCCTGGAGCTTTACGTGCTGTTTGAAACTCGCCACATTTCTCTTCTTTAACAACTCTGTAAATCATAGAGTTTCCAACACCAAGCGTACTACTAACTAATTCCACTGTGTCATCAACACTTTTACATAAATATTTGTCTGTAAATGATTTAAAACAATTAAATATTAATGTTTTTCATTAACTGTTAAAGGACCGATTTTTTGTCGTTTACGCGGCCCTTCCAAATTTACCATGATCCACACTAGAATTCACACTGCACCTTGCAAGTTGCAACTAAACGACATTTAGTGAACTGTCAAGAATACACAACTTGGACCTCCTTACTAGATGGAAAACCTATAATCGCATTTTCGGTGAAATTTGTTGGGAAGGTATTTATCTACTTATAATTCGATTACT